CATGACAAGCAACATGACGCACAGCCCGCAGAGGCCGTACAGGTAGAGTGTTCTCCGGCCCAGGCCGATGGACATGAGGAACCAGGCTCCGAAGACGCCGACCATGTTGATTCCGTACTGGCCCATGGCGAATGCATAGGCATTGTCGGTGCTCAGGCCTGCCTGTTCAAGAAAGTAGGTCGAGTAGTTGGAGAAAGAGTTGCCGCTCAGATTTTGAATAGCCCACACCATGCAGACAATCTCGGTCCGGCGCAGGTCGGTGCCTTTGAAGCAGTCCAGATAGCTGGCCCCGGTGGTGATCTTATTCTCCAGGGATGTGGTATGAACCATCATCGAGATGGTCTCGTCGGCGTCGAAGTTGGTCTCTCGCTTCACGCTCGTCAATCGCAGCAGGGCTTTCTTGGCTTGTTGAATCTTGCCCTTCCGGACCAACCACCATGGGGATTCTGGTGCGAGAGAAATCCCGATGAAGAGGGGCAATGGCCACATCCACTGCAGTCCATATGGAATCCGGTACGCCCACTGGTCATCCCGATTGATCATACCCTTGATCACACCGATACCGATCAGTTGTCCCAATCCCCAGCAGAAATTGACGTAGGTCGTAAGGTATCCACGCAGCGCCACCGGACACACCTCTGAAGCGTAGGTGACGGTCAATGTCTGAAACACTCCCCAGGGAATACCAGCCAGAATTTCCGCAGCCAGCAGCGCCTGGACGTTCGGGGCGGTGAAGAAGATGGCGGTCCACGCCGTGATCAAAACGAGACAAGCCATGATAGTATAGCGATATCCGAAGCGTTCCGAGGCCCAGCCATTGATGAAAAGGCCGATGATTTCTCCGACGTAGGCACCGTTACTCAAACCCGATTGCCACTGCATAGGAGACGTTTTGTTAGCCAATTGTGTCACGCGAGCACTGCATGGCGTGCGGGATGATGGTGCAATTGCATGTATGTCCCAGGTAAACAAGAGGGGAGGGAGTCAATTACCCGTGCTGGCACCTGATATGTCCCATCCGCCGACAACTCGCCGTATTTTCGGTTGAATTGAGGGAAAGCGTAGAAGTTGTTGACAAGACTGATATCGTAGCCTTCCATGACGATGCAGGTGGAGATAAGGATACTCCAGGCAACGGCCTTGGGATAGAGCTTGACGCCCTGGAGCAGGGTCATCTTCTGTTCCTTGTCCGTGGCCGCTTTGGCATTCTGGATTATCTTGGCTGCGGAAGCCATGGAATCCTGACGATCGGTGGAGGGCGTTGGCGGCTGCTCTGCCGGGGCAATGGCATCCGGAACCTTAGGGGAAGCCATGCTGGCGAGCAATTGCAGGCAATCCCAGGGGGAGGGAGAAAAGGGTGAAAGGGGAGGGGAGGGAGAGAGGAGGTGAAGAGGACAGAGGAGGGAGGGAAGAGGAGACGGACAATCAATCACTGGAGGGCAGCAGGAAAATCAGGGACGTTCCGGACCGGAGCGCATTAGTAGCGGGACGGCCATCGTTAGATTTTTATGCTGGCGGCGGGGCCGGCGGTGGTGAGCATACTCAGCATAGTGCGCCCCCCACCGACTGCAGGAACCGGTTTGGTGTCATTTGCTTGCGTACAATAGTGTCTGACTCGTATTCTTGATTTCGAATCGAATCATTTGGTTTGCAATAGATCTGGGTGACACAGATTCCCAAGGCAAATTTAAACTCCGACTAAAGCCAGGCCAAGTCTCATTTTACGCCGGGATCCGACACGAGGGGTTTGCGGGGAAAATAAGGGACGGCATCCCCCTCCGCCAATTATTGCCCACAAGAAGCAGAAAGATACACACAAAGTTAATAGGATATCATGGTTCAATTCAACTCAAACAGAAAGTCAACGTGTAGTTGATCGCTGCACACAAAAGTATAACCGATCGAGTATGCACGCTAAGATGCATCGCCTGCAGGTTCCTCGTGGCCGGAATGCAGACCAAAAATCTCCGATAAGCTTGATCCCGTAGGATCCGCCTCGATCTCCGATTCTTCCTGTCCATTTCCAAATCCGGCATGTGGATGAAGCTTGGCCACTCTGACTTTCTTCTTAATCTATGCGTATATGCATGAAATCACGCCACGAAGGATCACTTCTTGGTTTAACCCCAATTTAATATTTATCCAATGGCCAACAGATTCAGCACCGTTGAGCACATGGCGTATATGCAAATACCCGATCATGACCCTACAGGGTCACATGTTTCCTGTGTAGCTTGATTAGTCCTCTTCTGGTTACCTACGCGTCCAATGGTCGGGGATGATTGGCCAATTCCATATACGCGGCTCAATCCGGTTCAGATAGACATGGAAGGACACCACTTCCAACTTACTTTACCTACTGCTTAGATCAAAATTGGTTGTGCAAAGCAAGGCGCACTGCATTTGTCTGATAATGATTAAAAATATGGAGTCCCACTGGTTGTTGATTCGATGGAAATAATTCATACCCTATCGGACATACTAAGTCTGTGCATAGTGTGTGTCTCCTGGGTCATCTCATATGAGTCTGAGACGATGCAAGCTGAGTAAATTGCTAGACAGTAGCTCTCAATTGTTATAGTATTGGGTGTGTTGTTGCCATCCTTATCATTTCTGTCTCATACTCACATTATACCCCAGCCATGTACTAGATGAGTAATGAATAACGGTATGTCCGGTAGGCTTAGAAGTAGGTGGCTCATAAATATATGGGTGACGATTCGCAATAAATAAACGGGTTCGTAGTAATTGTCCTTGAATATTACCAAGCGTCACAACTTATGACCAGATACTAAATCTTTGAAATCTCCGTAGGTAACAGTGCCTGGCTTGTCTGGACACCATACATTCTAAGCACCAGTAAGTAGCTATACATGTTAACCCTTCTAGTTTTCATCCTCCGCGAACCTTCTTGAATGGGGTCTCTCATTGATCCCCTTGGTCTGTGTCCTGGGCATTTCCATCATTATCTTGTCTCAGCATGGACGAGAACTGCCTGGTTGCATTGATGTCGAGTTGACATCATTCCATCTCGCTGTCAGAATTCCGCCAATGTTGGCGGCGACGGTTGTAGCGAAGATATTTATATTCGGTTATTCCTGGGACATCCCCTTAGCATTCTTGCTTCAGGCGCCTTTAAGGCCTTTGCTTAATTCTTCACAATTCAGACAGTAAACCCCAAAGCTTCACAGTATACGGTACTCTGCTGACGGCTTCGAAGATATACCACTATCCCTGGAGCGCAGCTATCTTGATCGAAATCTTCGGTATTCTGTCTGCCAACAGCCCGTTCAACCAGTCGTCAGACCTCAAAGCCTTTGTAAACGATGTCGCCTCTATACAAGTGCTTGCACAACTTACCCAAGTGCTTCCAAGTTATCTAAAGGGGCGATGGATTGTGTGGATATTTGGTCTCGTAGCGGTTATTCCATACATCGCAAACGTATGGACCATATAATTACAAACAACACAATAATCGAGAACCATCCCTATCGCGGCATTAATGGCTAAAGCCCGACTCGAGTTCGAAGAAACTCTCCACAAGCAATCCCGCACATAAACAGCTGCATGCGACGAGTATCGCCTACGTTATAAGATTGAGCCACCACCTGGATTCGAGGATTGGTTCCTATATGCGTCTGCTCATCAGTCGCCGATAATTGACGATTTCGATGCTATATACGACAGTATACTACCGTTGACAAAATCAACCGGAAAAGAGATCAGGGAGAACATTGTAAATGCGCGCAATCTGCCCGGTAATGACCTTTGGACCTGTACGTTTTCTGGCAGCTCACGCAAAACAAAATGCTCATGATTTCCGCGTGCTTGATCGGAATATTCAACATACATTCGACACCTTACTTGAGATTATACCCGCTACTCTCCCTGACTTTACCTTCCTGATCAATCATCTCGATGAGCCAAGGGTGATACCCCCTCCACCAACCAATATCCATACCAGTCCGAGCATAAAGGATCACTCCAGGCAATCAGCATGGGATACTATATCAGCCCCCTGCGCCTACCAACCCAACAGTACCCAGACCCAAGACCATCAACCCCCAGCCCAAGCCCCAAACCTCCCATTCATCACCGATCCAAACCAAGCCAAGAACCTCTGTCTCCACTCAAATACAGCACAAAGCACGGCATCTTCCTCAGCCCAACCTCCTTTCGCCCCATAACAGGCCTCCTCCCAATCCTCTCCACAGGCTCCCTCTCCACCATGACCGATATCCTCTACCCAGTCCGGCCTACCTAGCATCGGACTTCCAATACACCCCTGAAAAAGACATCCCATGGCATCAAAAAAAAAAAAAAAAAACACCCTCTACTGGGCCGGTTCTACAACCGGCGCCTTCGCCATAAATACCAACGATTGGCACAACTTCCACCGCCAACGCTTTGTTAGCCTAGTCACAAATCCAGATCACTATCACAACAGCTACACCTACCTCCACCAAACCTCAACTTCAATCTCCACACAAAAATCCACCTTCCTCAACACCCGCATCTTCAACTGTTCACCCGCCTCCTGCCGCGCCCAACGCCGCGTCTTCCATCCGCACTCCTGGGCCGATAAAGACCAGGGTCTACAATCGAAGCTAATATTTGATCTAGATGGGAATGAAATCAGCGGGATGTTTTATAGCCTGTTAGCGTCGAATTCTGCTCCAGTAAAGCAGACTCTGTTTAGGGAGTGGCATGATGAGAGACTGTGGCCGTGGGTGCATTACATCCCGGTTAGTTTGGGGATGGAGGAGGTACCGGAGGTGGTGAGGTATTTTACGTCTAGTGAGGAGGGGAGGGAGAGGGCGGGGGAGATTGCGAGGAATGGGAAGGAGTGGTTTGGGAGGGCTTTTCGGGAGGTGCATTGTGGATTTGGGTGTCTGGGTTTGGAGGGTGTTGTTGGAGGTGGAAAGGGTGGGGGATCCGGGGAGGGAGTGTAAGGTTATCCGTTTATATAAGGTGTTGTGTAGGGTATTGCTGAGTGGTATCTAGTCGCGTCTCGATTTCACCGACCGCCACTCAATCATCAAACTCCCCACCATCGTGGCACATGCGAGTCCAATCACCAAATACCTGGTCTGTATAAGACTTCTATCAATCGCCACGAGAACATCCCTCGTTTTAGCCGGCGACATATCCGCCACAAGTTGTGATAAACCACTATTCTCGATACCCGCCCCATCAATGCCAGACACAAGCCCCCTCAGATTCACCGAGAGCTGATCCACGAACAAGACCTGCGCAACAGCAATCGCCACAGCCGGACCAAACGACTGAGCGAAAAGCATAATCGACGTACCCAGCGGCACGTCCTCCACGGGCAACACCGTCTGGACAGCGTTCTGCGGACCGGAGAAACCAATACCGTATGCCAGGCCAGAAAAGGCAGTGTATATGATCAGTTCGGCGAAGCTAGTATTGACTTTGAAGGTAGTGATGAGGCCCGCGGCAACGGGCATCATGATCGACGCAAAAAGCATGAACGGGGCGTAGTAGCCAATAGCGCTGGTCCCGAAGCCGTGGATGAGTGCGCCAACGGTGCCGGCGATAATAATAGGGAGCATCATGTAGCCGCTTTTGGCGGGGGTGTATCCACGTACGACTTGGTAGTAAGTGGGCAGGTAGTATTCGAGGACGTTGCCGGTGCTGTTGCCGCACATGATGAAGATGCAGCCGGCGATGACGCTGCGGCGTTTCATGATGCGGAGGGGGAGGGCGGCGGCGTCCCCGAGGCGTTTTTGGTTGTAGATGAAGGCGGCCATAAGGATGGTGAAGGTGATCAGAGGGGCTATTACTGGGCCGCTGGTCCAGGAGTACTTGGTGCCGGCCCAGGAAAAGGCTAGGAAGAGGGCTGTTAGTGCTGGAATGAATAAGAGGTTGCTTGTCAGGTCAAGTTGTATGATCTTTTGTTTGAGGCCCATGCGGGCGATGGCGCTGGATTTTGGCGGGTCTGAGAAACAACATATGGTCAGTGCTAGGGTAGCGGCACCGAGAGGTGCGTTGATGTAGAAACACCATCGCCAGCCAATGGACTGCACGATGGCTCCGCCGAGAAGTGGTGCGGATAGCGTAGCTAGGCCTTCGACGGCGCCCATCATGCCGGTGAACATGGGTCGTTTGTGTAAAGGTGTTGATTGTACGAGGATAACGAAGCACCCGGAAAGAAGGCCTGCGGATCCTAGGCCAGCTATAGCCCGACCTACGACCAGCATGGTCGAGGTACTGGCGGCGCCGCAGAGCAGTGAACCTGCTATGGAGATGGCATTGGCAAGTAAGAAGACGGTCTTGATAGAGAAGAGCTCGTACGCCTTGCCGAAAACAAACTGGAAGGAACACTGGCAGAGTCTGAAGGCAGAGGAATACCATCCGACGTCTGCAACGGTGTGAAAGTAGTCTGTTATGCTAGGTACGGCTGTGGCGACGATGTTCATGTCTATGCTGCTCAAGATTAGGACGGCAGCTAGGGTGAGCATGAGGAGCCAGAATTTCGTGCCGCTGGGATACTCGGCTTCTCTATGCAGGCTGGCATGATCGGTTATCGCGTCGAAAGTGGTTGCCGACCTGCTTGTAGGACCGCAAAATTCATTATTGACTGTATTGCCTGAAGCGCTTGCCGCGTGTTGTTGGTCGGTTCTGACTTCTGTCATTGTGGATGTCATTGTTGTTAGTGGGGTCCCCTAGACTAGGATCGCGTTCCAATTCATAGAAATTGGAGATAATTGCTACAGCTCCTGCTGACTGGACCGGCGCTAAGATTGACCCTAGATTAATCACGTGCGTAAGGATTGAAGTACACCTATACAGACCCAATCTGACATTTTCTGATACAGTTATGCAGTATTAACTATGTACAATACCGGGGGATCTGACAAATGCTGGATCACTTTTGAGGTTGCCCCGGTATCTTGCTTGAAGCACCATGGGCCTGAGTCCTAGTTTCCCGTGTCCCAAGTCGGAACAGGCTTTGGAGGGTGGTGTTAAAGTTGGGGTGGGTGATAATTAGGGGGGATCTATTATGAGCGAGGATACAAAGGTGTTATTTGGTTAAAGTTGATATCGGGGGCACTTTTCTGTTCGTCCGTGAGGTACAAGTCGTTGACGGCTACGTTGGGAAATGTGAATTCAGGCGGATCGTACTAGAACCTAAGCCCGTCTTTATCGATGATCTGACGGGCCATTTCTCTACTGGTAGTCACTGGTAATTAGTACGAGCCATCCCGACCGGCTTGGACGAGTGGACCAGAGTGAAGGATGAGTCCCAATACTGCAACTGCCCAAATCAATCCGCTTGGGGATAGTTGTTGCGCAAAATAAGTCTAACAGTGCAGGTTGGTTAGGAAGACGGTTCCCATCGCTGCCTAAACCCTATATCTGGTTAGACACATAAGGTCTCGTGCTGCTATAGTACCATATTTACTCGCATATTCCCTACGTATGCGGATGTTTGTGGGGACCAATGAGCACCATAACCAGCATCGCAGGTAGGGGTCGTCGCGCCACTGTCATAACGGCCAGGGCCTTATTTCATCATTTCGCGGACGAGCGTCATCAGGCGCTGCCATCAGATTTTCGATTGCCCGGATTTATTGGCTGCGGGTTGTGGTACCATCTTGGTTTCAGAACACGATGATATCATAGGGGGATGGAGCGTCCCGTGGCGACTTTCGATATTGGACACATGTGCCTATGTACCTTGGTATATAAAATGAACAGGTATCACAACATTTGGCGATAGATTCGATCTATACTGCATCATCAGTCTAACCAAAAATCATACTTTGATTCAAGATACAAATTTCCTTCCTCCAAAAAACTTCCTCACTGAAATAGCTTTGCTGCCGCGACATCGACGTCATGTCTTCTGGCAACGATAACAACAACAACCGTAAGTGACCATCGACCCGAGCACCTACTGTTCCTATGTTATATTCTCCCTTGTTTGTGCCTTGACTTAACTAGTCGGTCGCGTTATGAAGTTCTCGCACCCCTGGGTACCAAATCCCATAATACCTCGATACCATTACACACCTGTTGCTAATGCGTAAGTATATAGCGAACCTCCTTGGAGGCGTCGGCGATACCCTAGGAAAGACCGTGGGCGGACTCGGAGACACTGTCGGAAGCACTGTAGGAGGACTTGGAGACACTGTGGGAAACACTGTGGGAGGACTCGGTCAGACTGCCGGCGGTGCGACTCAGGGTCTTGGAAAGACTGTTGGCGGTGCCACTGAAGGCCTGGGCAACACAACCCGGGGCGTCGGACAGTCGACTGGAGACATCCTTAGCAGCATCAATGGCGACAGATCCGGTGCGAATGCTGATCGGAAGTAAAGGTGACGGCGAGGTCCGGCTGGATATGACATGACTTGATGAATCTGCTATGTAATGGGCTTGACTGATGTTAATCGTTTTCTCGCTCAAATGGGTATGGCTTAATGATTGATTCGACTGTATCTATATGATTTGAGTGTTTGCAGGACAAATTGACTTTCTGAGGATGAGTAAACCTCAAAGCATGAAGCGTAAACTAGAAACTCGCATGAACGCGATCGGAACCGAGCGGGCGGGTGTTCCGAGGCATCTGCTGCTCGGGTTCCTATTCCACTAGGAGAATCTCGTTCCGCTTCGGAGGGCGGAGCTTTCCGCGGGGAACTCCCCGTTGAATCTGACGTAGCTGTCGGTAGAGAAATAACTTTCGCAATAATGTCAAGGAATCGGGTGATCATCATGTTGACTTGACAAGCCGATAATCATAGCCGCAATTGGCGCTGGAGACAGACAAATGGTTACCTCGGCCAATTATATTCATGAATATCGCACAGTAGCGAATTGAAAGGTCCTGAGCGGAGAGAATTATACAGGGAAACTTGTGTTCCGAAGAATGTGGGGGGGGTTATCTTAATTGCGATCGAAACATCATCGCTTTACTCCCCGTGATCATATACCGCTCATCTAGCTAGCTATCTTTATCATGAAGATTTCATTTAATGACTATCTTAGGTAACAGCGAACGAACAACAGCTCGAAGTATCACATCATCTGATAAGGAAGGTCAAACAGGATTGCCTTCCTCTTGCAGAGAATCAGCAAAGTCAGGCACTTTCCCAATCAGGCAAGAAATACGCCCGGATAGGATTTCTACGATGGGGATCGCGGAAGGGCCAGACGGCCAACCAGTAGTACTGAGTATTAGTGCCTGCAGGGCTGGCGGGCTGCAGAATGGCAGGAAACTTCTGGCCAGGTCCATTGACTAAGATTGATTATCGCTTTATCAGACCACAACAGCCACACTAAATCACTAGCGGATAAACTAACCTCGAATTCTAGCGCATTTTGTAGACTCCCGGGAGCTTTGCATGCCCACCTCGGGCCGTTTCAGTGCTCGTTTAGGTGGTTACGTGTTAGGGATCTCCGTCCACACCACAACACTTATATTAGTGAACCATCTAGAACAGAGTTATCCTCCACATCGTCCTCAATATACTGTGTGGATTTATAGTCAACTCCCCTTCACTGGAAATAACGCGGGGAAATCTAGACTTGGTCGACATTCTGACATCGAGATAATGCTGATTGGTGGACACCCCTGGCGGAATTGGCTGCAACTGTGCGGGGTAAATTAGCGTATCGGAAAGCTCCTTTTGGGTGATTTTCTTTGTTTCGTGCTTCCGAGAAATGTTAATATGCAAATGAGTTTTTGAGTTTCTTTCATTGCTGCCCAGAAGCATTTGGATTGCTTCAGGTTAAAATAGTGTTCTATAAGTGAGCTCAACTATCAATTGATCTCAGATGAATGGCCCGCATAAGTCATAGTACCTGAACCGGCGGGAAATCGGACGGGCAGCGGGACTGATCGAGGCAGGCGATTCCGTGGAACCACCGCGTTGACCTTCCCCGGCATCATCATTGGCTGTTGCTGCACGGGGTTCCCCATCTGCCTCCCTCGGCGACGAGCCACCCGCCTTCAAATCTTTCAATGGATCGTCTGCTCTTTTCCTTATAATCTCTTCGTCCCTTGCCGCTGCTGCTTCAGTTCTTGCAATTACTTCTTCCTTCATTGGGACCTCGTTCCGTGGCTTTGTTTACTCCCCGCATTCGTCCCAAGGACCTTCTTGTCCCCATCAACGGACCATTGCTAGCTCTCCAATCTACTAAAACCCCGCATTCAGCTATCTTACTCCGCCGGACAACTCCTTTCTCTCCCCGCCTTGTCTCCATCTTCAGTTTATCACTCTTGCAACACTTTAAATTAGCTCTTATCACAAACCGTCACCATGGGCAAGGACGATCAACCCAGTACGTCTATACTACTCTGGCTTTCATCTTCTGAAATGTGAACTGAAAACTAACTCTGCTGCTCTGTCTTTTAGAGACCTACCGCTACAATGAGAAGCCCATCTACACTACCTCCAATGGCTGCCCAGTATGCTGCGCCGACATCATATGGTCCATTTACGGATAACATACTGACACATCTCAGGTTATGGACCCCCAGGCTGCCCAGCGCGTTGGCCGCAACGGGCCCCTTCTGCTTCAGGACTTCCACCTGATCGACCTCCTCGCACACTTCGACAGAGAGAGAATCCCGGAGCGTGTTGTCCACGCCAAGGGTGCTGGCGCCTTTGGTGATTTCGAGGTCACCGATGACATCAGCGACATCACCGTCATCGACATGCTCAAGGGCATTGGCAAGAAGACCAAGCTGTTCACTCGCTTCTCAACCGTCGGTGGGGAGAAGGGCTCTGCGGACAGCGCGCGTGATCCCCGTGGCTTCGCTATCAAGTTCTACACTGAAGAGGGCAATTGGGACTGGGTCTTCAACAACACCCCTGTCTTCTTCCTCCGTGATCCCGCCAAGTTCCCCATCTTCATTCACACCCAGAAGCGCAACCCCCAGACCAACCTCAAGGATGCCACCATGTTTTGGGACTACCTTTCCACCCACCAAGAAGCCGTTCACCAGGTCATGCACCTCTTCAGTGACCGTGGTACGCCTTACTCTTACCGCCACATGAACGGCTACTCCGGCCACACTTACAAGTGGATCAAGCCCGACGGCACCTTCAACTACGTCCAGATCCACCTGAAGACCGACCAGGGCAACAAGACCTTCAACAACGAGGAGGCCACTCGCCTGGCGGCTGAAAACCCCGACTGGCACACCCAGGACCTGTTCGACGCCATCTCGCGTGGCGAGAACCCCTCATGGACTTGCTACGTCCAGGTCCTGAGCCCCGAGCAGGCCGAGAAGTTCCGCTGGAGCGTCTTTGACCTGACTAAGGTCTGGCCTCAGAGTGAGGTTCCTCTGCGTCGCTTCGGCAAGCTCACTCTGAACAAGAACCCCGAGAACTACTTCGCCGAGGTTGAGCAGGCCGCCTTCTCCCCCTCGCACATGGTGCCGGGCGTGGAGCCCTCTGCCGACCCTGTCTTGCAGTCCCGCCTCTTCTCCTACCCTGACACCCAGCGCCACCGTCTGAGCGGCAACTACGAGCAGATCCCCGTCAACTGCCCGCTCCGCTCGTTCAGCCCCTGGCACCGTGATGGGTACATGAACGTTCACGGCAACTACGGAGCCAACCCCAACTATCCCTCCACCTTCCGTCCTTACAACTACCAGCCCGTGAAGGCTAGTCAGGAGCACGAGAAG